ATTTTATTTTGTTGTTTTCTACTGTTTTGTTTACTAAATCTTTTTCTCCTTTAAGAAAAAAATAGAGTGCTATTTTATTCTTATGGTTATTGTAATAAAAACGAATATAAATAATAAATACAAGTTAATGTAGCAAAGAACCTTTCACTACGGCACTTCGTTTTATAATGTCAAATTTTCCTGCGGAAGTACCCCGCACACAGCGAACTTTGATGTCGCGGCCTAGCCTTTGACTAGATACAGCACGAATCAAGGCGGTGTGATACAAAAACAAACGTATCTAAGTAGTCATACTATACAGACCTGACGCAATGTATATTTTTTTAAAGTTAACTTAAATACATTTTCCCTAAGATTTTACACAGCAGCAATCTTCTTGTTACGTATACTCATCTCCATTGCAGTTACAACGCCTGTAACACATTACACGAACTCGAGGTGTTATAAAATTGAATGACACTAAAGTTTTTTATCACATATTTAACCCTAGAAAGGTCTGCTTACATTTACCTAGGTTGTCATGAATATTAATATTGCAATTTTATGAGTACTTTTATTTTATATTTATTTTTCTTTTTTTTAATTGAATTAAATAAATTTAATTTATAAGGCAGGTGTAATATTAATGAGTGTTCTGAGATAAGAAATGTTGGTGACAATGTGTATCGATCCGAAGGGTATAGATAGCAGTTATAGTTACCCTTTAACTTGTGAGCCCTTTAAAAAATACCTGATAACAATACATATTTCAAATAGACTACATTGTAAATTATTACCATACCTATATTATTCATATTAGGCTTCTAATTGGTTCTTCCCACGGCAGAGGATTTTCAATCCAGTGATAAAAGCATAAACAGCTTTTAATAAGTATTACTTGCAATCTATGTTGAATAATAATTATTCTGTTCTATTATTATTCAATATTAATTTATTGTATTCTTCTACATTATATACAATATATATTTTATATCTTTTTATTGTTAAAGACAGACACATTGTAAGAGTTATTACACTTTATTCACGATTAAATAGATTTGCAGACGTAAAAACAAAATTTTATCTAAATATCAATTTTTAATATGGTCGGCAATATCAGCTGCTATGAATTTTCATTAACCGTGGCCAGGCACGTGGTTACGTGCTCCAAATATATTATGCCGCGTAGAAGAAAAAATGCCAGAAAGCATTGCGTATTAAATAAAAATATTCTGAATTTGCGGAATCCTATATATACTTAATATATACTTGTTGAAGCTTTTATCCTCTTTTATTTTATAAATAACAATTATATAAAATAGTTACCTTGTTATCTGCCGCATTACATTTACAACAATGTGCTAATAACATATTAATCAACATCATTGTCACAGCCTCAGTCATACCCCCTCCGAAACGAGGGGAGGCCTGAGCCCAGGAATGGCACATAAATAGGCTGTATCTTTGCTATCTTTACTGAAATATACGTCTTTAGTTTGCCTTGTAGGAGAGATAATTGCCATAGGAGCCTCGCTAGGCGGGTAGTTCGGTAACCTCAGTTTTATCACTATTTTGAGTAGTCATATGTGGTAGTCAAAGCTCTTACGTCGTCACTACAACAGTTACTCTATTAGCGATTAATGTGCACTATTTTTATAATAAAGTAATTTTGTTTATTATACTCTCGCATTCAACGGCTTTACGTGCTTTCCGAGGCACGGGGGTGAGACACCTCCAACTTCGTGACCACGGGCAACTACTGAGAATTTCTCGACGGAAAAACTCAATAATTAATTTTTTGGCCCGACCCGGGATTCCAACCCAGGACCTCATGATCAGCAGTCGCACTACTACAACCACTAGACCAACGAGGTAGTCAGATTAAGATACGAATATTCTACCAGTATTTTTCGTGTAATAGTAGCGTTTAGCTTGTGCTGCCACGGCTCTTTGAAAATACTCGTAATAAACCAAATAATGTTATAAATAACTTATTTATATGGTTTTACTCAGCCCACATGTCATTAAAACTGCTACATGCTCTGCTAAAATCTTAAACTAAAACGGCCTGGGATGTACTCATCAAATTGATGAAGTTATTGAACACGTCTGAGTATAATGATTTAAATAAATTCCGTAAAAACTAGTATTATTTCAACGTCTGAGTATATTATGGGCTATAAATTCACTAAATCTACTTATATATAACGTAGGATTTTTCAAGGTTAGTAAACCAGTTTTCCCCACCACGCCGTGTGGTTGAGAATAAGAGAATTCAGCGCCTAAAATGGAGTGAAATTAGACGTCCAGAAAGAGGCGACTATTAGAAGCACGAAGAAGATCCAGTTGTCATATAACTGCATGGCGATAAAACCAAACCAAATGTAAAATACCCAGACCGGCGACAGGGAAAATGTGAATGTTTTGAGATATTTTGCACTAATATTACCACCATTTGGTAACACACCCGGAGTTTTTCAGCCAAGCAGCAGTTCACTTCCTGCTGTGTTTCAATGTGGAGAGTATGAGACGTTATGAGCTATAGTTACAAATTGTGAGGCGTTTTATCTTATAATTTAAGACTAAATCGAATATAATAAAACAGAACACTGAACTCATATGGGTTGAGTGCTGGTTTGATACAGGCATTAAGGTCTCTTTATAGGGACTCTAGTGCTTGTGTCAGGATCAATGGGGTCTACTCGGACTGGTTTGGCATCCAAAAAGGTGTCAGACAGGGCTGTGTAGCTTCCCCTTGGCTGTTCAACCTATTATGGACAGGTGTTTGCAAACTTTGAAAGATGAAGAATGTGGGTTAAGAATGGGCGAGTTAACCGTCAAATGCCTTTTGTATGCCGATGATCAAGTCATATTGGCGTCATCGGCGGCTGAGTTGCAAATGATGGTTACATTAATGAACTGGGAATTAAAAGAAAGGGTAATGAAAGTGAACGCAAGTAAGACGAAAGTGATGGTTTTTGAAAGAGAAGAAAGCAAAACGGTATGTGAAATAAGAATAGAAGGAGAGTTAATTGAGCAAGTGGATGAGTTTGCGCGTATTTGGGATGTGTATTTAGCAGGATTGGTAGATATGATAGAGATATAGAACGACGAGTAAATGCAGGGAATAGAGTGAATGTGGCACTACACTCTATTATGAAGAACCAGAATGTGTCCAAAAAGGCACGTATGGTAATTCATAATGCTGTGTTAGTCCCTACTTTAATGTATGTATGAAAGCTGGGTGTGGCAGAAGAAGGACGAAAGTAGAATAAATGCTGTAGAAATGCGGTCTTTAAGGAGTATGTAGGGTTCAATCTGAATGACAGGTTGAGACATTGCGTATAAGATATAAATGTGGTATGCAAGATGATGTTGTGACCAGGATTAAGAAAGGAATGCTTCGGTGGTTTGGTCATGTAGAAATAATGAATGAGGAAAGAGTGACAAAGCAAATTTATATGGCAGATGTGAACGGCCGAGTCGGGAAGGGACGCCCTAGAAAAAAGTTTATCGACCAAATTGGCGATATTTTGAAAAGGGGCCACGTTAGAAGTACCCTTAACCGACGAGCATGTATGCGTAGACATACGGATGTAAAGGAGGCGAAAGAGGTATGTCAGGATCGTGCTAAATGGAAGTCCATACTCTGCCTACCCCTCTGGGTGACAGGCGTGAGTGTTTATATATATATATATGTATATGTAAAACAGAAAATAAAATAGAATAGAATAGAACAGAATAGAACATAATAGAATGGTATATTTTTATTCAATATATATTACATGTGATTCATATTGAAAGTAATTTTTTATCTTCAGCCAAAGCACCCGAACCCTTTGTTATTTGAAGTTGTTAGTATCAATAGATTTCAGTAGTACCTTACTGTCAGCCGTGCGATTAGTTCCTTCAACAATAATAGGCTGTTTGAGTTCTTTTCTGGACTTTGAAGAGATCTAGAAAGCAGGCGTACGCCGGCGTCCTCCGGCTTGTATAGTACAGGACAGTATGCTTTTTAGGCTTAGTATTGCGCTTTCAGTGGATAGTCTGGGCCTAATCCCGAACTGCGCTTTATGTAACTTCTGATACTTTTGCGAGCATGAATGAAGTAGACTATCCAATACTTTGGCCACCGTGATAGCAAGAGAAATAGGGCAGTTGTTTCTCGTATCCGAAATATCTCCTAAGTCTGTCTACTTACCTAGGTACCACCAAGTAGCTGTGTCCGCACTGCCATGTCCGGGCCAAATAACTTTATAAATCTTTAAACTTGATTATTACATACCGTGTATTGGCATTGTAAGAATATTGATAAAAGGTATTCTACTACTAAGGCTACTCATCTGACATCTTATATTTTATTTTTGTGGATAAAATTAACGGTTATAGTGATTTTATTACTTAATATCCAAGAATTTAGGCATTTCATCCACTCTTATGGCCTTAAGCTGGCATGTTTATGAAACATGCACGAAGATGTTATGCATAAAATATAGCGAAGATAAATTTCACGAGCATCTAATAGGTTGTAGTTTTGCCTCTGAAACATATTTTTGTGCTAATGTCTCAAAGGGCAAGATTCTCTGCATGCAGGCATGCATGCCATATTAACGACGGGCGACACGGAGCCAGGTTTCAAGCATGCAAGCTGGCACGTTTGCCGTCTTGTAACCCATTACTTAACATAACACAACCCTTTTTCCTTCACTTCTGGGGCAAGATTTAATTTCTCCGACGTTTATAGGTAATATAAATTAATTATATTTTGAACGGTTTCCCTGTCTACGAAATATACGAGTACATTTCGTAGACACGGTTAACAATCTAAATGTTTATATCTTCATGTATAAAACTCCGGTATGTATGTGTTTGTTATTCTTTACCTCCTGAACGCATTGACTGATTTTAAAGAATTATTTTTAAATGTCTGATTTAAATATGAGTAAATTGTGGATTGCATCAAAAATAATGAGCCACGTGTATGTGTGTAGGTGTATGTGTAGGGGGTGAACTTAGAAGACATGACCATGACCTATGGTGAATCACGAGGACCTTGCATGGTAGGTCTAATATTGTCGCTCCAAGTAGGTTCGCCGAGTCCACTATGGATGCACGTTGATGTACTCCGGAGGAAGAGGTGGTACGAGGTGTGAATGGTGTGTTCCTATGGTGTTGCCTATATACTGACATTAGACATAAGCCTATATAATGACATTTTGCTTAATTTATTTGACATGTAATCTATTTGACTTCTAATATATTTGGCATCTATTTTGTTTGTATTTATTTGATCTATTTGACATGTATTACAATTACAATTACAATACACTTTATGTACACCAACAAAATATAAATATAACAAACAATGAACAAACAATGAGGGAAAACAAAAGGCTCTTATTGCTACGTAGCCCCTCGTCTGTCCAAACGTCATATTCTGGCGTCTTAAATAATATGCGCATCTGTCAAACGCCATAATACAGCGTCGAGTGATAGCAAACTATTTGTAACAAATATATGATATATAAAAAATACATATATGTATAACATATATATCTGTTATGCATAATCTGATAGCTTATTTAATAACGTTTCCATTATATTAAGATAAGTGCTCGACAGATGCACCATATTGGCCGAAATGACCCCAACATTCGAGTGGATAGCAATCTCTTTCAGACAACCCAGAAGAGGAAATTAGTAAAAATAAAATTAACGGGTACTAAATTAGACAAAAAATACAACGTATACACTATAAATTGACAACATACTTAAGGTATATTAGTGGACATAACTAAGAGGAGGAAGAGATAGGAGTTAAAGAGACAAATAGTGTTCCTTAATTGGTTTCTTGAACAAATTTAATGATTGAGCACTTTTAATGGACTGGTGTAAGAAGTTCCAGAGTATTACTCCAAGAACAGCAAAAGATTTATCATAAAATGTCGAGGAGTGTACAGAACATTGGAGCGAAATGTTTTCTCTGGACCATAAGGAAAAATCGTGACAAGAGCTAAGAATTTTAAAACGTTCTTTTAGATAGGGAGGAATTGATACATTAAATAAGACGCAGTAGAGCGCAGAAAGTATATGAGTATTCCGACGAAGACGGGTTGGGAGCCACTTGAGTTTAGTGCGGTATTCCGAGACATGGTCATATTTACGAAGCCCAAATATGAACCGTATACAGAGATTTTGGAGTCGCTCAAGTTTATTAAGTTGCTCCTTGGTGATATCAAGGTAAAAATGTCAGAATAGTAGAGGATAGGGAGTAGCAAAGATTGTGCAAGCGTAATTTTGGTGGAAATGGGTAAAACGTAGTTAAGCCTCCGGAGTGAAGCATAAGCCGCAGACATTTTTCGGCTCACTGCATTAATTTGAGGTGCCCAAGAAAGACTGGAATCCAAAAGAATACCTAATTTTTTAAATACTTCATTATATGGAATAAGGATACCATTAAATACAACGGGTTGAAGTTGACATTCTTTGATTTTGGAAATAGTTCTTGAAATCTTAACAATTACAGCTTGCGATTTTGAAGGTTTCACCGTCAACCCATAAGATCGAGTCCAGTCGAGAATAAAAGCCAGATCCTTGTTGATACATTAAACAGTTTTGAGAAGATCTTCGATGGTTGTTTGTAAATATATTTGAAGGTCATCTGCATACTAGTGGTAGAGAGAAGATATGTGGGATGTAATCGTATTACTAAAGATTGCGAATAAAAGATGAGATAAGACACACCTTGTGGAACGCCAGCTACAGTATCAAGCCACGAAGAAAGTCTATCTTGGACACGAATACGTTGCCGGCGCCCATGCAAATAACTATGAAACCAGGAAATTGCAGTTGCAGATATGTTAAGAGAAGAGAATCCCAACAGGATATCATGATCAACAGTATTGAAAGCATTGCTGAAATCCAGCAACACCAATACTGTGACTTGATGATTCTCCATACCGTGACAAATGTCGTCAGTGATTTTTAATAACGCCGTAGTCGTACTATGACCAGATCTAAAGCCAGATAGGAGAGGACTAAGGATGTATGTATGTATTCTTTAATTTATTTGACCTTTTTACGTGTATCTTATATTATTACGATTAATTAAAACTGTAATTTATAAATTAGCATGCTGACGATTTGTAAGCCAGCTTGTACACTGTTTTTAAAATAAAAATTTAAAAAAATATATAAATACGGAGAATGTGATATTTTAGTCGATAAGAGTTCAGACAAATAAAGAGGTCACTTTGGAATCTACTTAAATTTAGCTGGTATATTTTCTATATATATATATATATATATATATATATATATTATCATTATATATATTCTATATATATATATACTATACTTAAACTTATTACTGTTTACATATGAAATTATTACTGTGTTTCTTTAAACGATACTGAGTTTACTTCACGGGACGATAGACCACTGTTGAACATAGAAACAATATTTACTATAGTTTCCTCTCTTAGTAAGTGGTTTGGCGTACACTTTTTTATTATTTTGAGTCGTTATCAGGAAGATACTGTTGCCTGTCTTCTGTTTCATTTCCCTCTGTCAGCTTCTACGATCCTCACGGGTGTGTCGGGGCGTCACGAGCCACTAAGTAACAATATGTATTATTTGTTAGTAGGTAGTGGTTTCTTTTACGCCGCCGTAACACTTCCCCCCTCTCTGATATAATAAATATATTAGATATAATTAATTTACCCCTTTTCGATAAAAATTATATATATGTGACCAAGATAATTAAGATATGTTTTGATCTTTCTAAATGATCTTTCTAAAGGTTTAATAATTGGCCGTTTGTAATATTTTGGCGTGATCGTCTTAGTTAGGACCCTTATTTACGTTGTTTTTGTTTAGTAACTTAGTTCTTTTAGGTGTCTTTTGGAAGAATGAATATTCGCTAGAGCAATTGAAAGCTGATGGTAGTGCCTTATAAGCTAAGTGAACCCCGTTCACGAAGACAGGGCTCGAGAAAGTTTAAGAACATAAAACGTCCCAATTCTACTTGTATCAGGTTGACATTATTAATTTAATATTATTTATCCCTTCCCGCTCGGAAAAGGCTCAAAATATATTTATACAAAATACCCGATACAAAGGCTTCGCTCTCCTACATTTATTTAAAAAAATGTAGGGGAGCACACGGCCCCACACACGCCGTGCACGGTGAGTGCCAACCATTTTGATGCACTCCCCCCGAAGGGAAAGCTAATTCGGGAACTGCACCGTAGTCCACAGCAAAATAACTGGCGAACCAGTAAAAGAGGCTTGTCCCCTTGTTAGTGCGTAAGCACAAACATCGACCGAAATCGCGCATGTCAATGCGTGTAAACGCCATACAGAATACGAACGAATCCAGCCACAGTGAATGTACGTCACACGGTTTAGGCAAATAGGCACACTGGCCGTAAAGCCTCCGTGAGCGCCACCACCTGCCAGACCGCTGCTCCCGCAGACGTGATGTAAGTGTATGGCATCACCACCAATTGCATGATCAGCACGGCTACTAGCCGCAGAGCGTGTCATGAGTCTACCGCTCACCTCAAGGGAATGGGGTCCCACGTTGTGCGGCTTTCGGCCGCAGACTTGAGAGTCTCCTCAGATCTTCCCGCCAGCTACCACCCGCATGAGGTCGACACATAAGCTCCACCAACCAATAAAACGGCAGATATAGCCAAAAGGCAGTTATAAGATAAGAGTAATAATTCGCCATCAGAAAGGGTTTGTGTCACTGACGTTGAGTAAATGCATTTTCGATCATGTTTGTCTCGCCCACCAACAAGTTGCCTTCAACCATTCAAAGGTGGAAAGTTACAGAGATATATTATTACGTTGTTATATAGAACACCATGGAGGGCAGACAGTCTGTAGCCCCGTAATGAAGGGACCCGACTTGGGCAAAGCTACTTAGGTGTAAGTCAAACCAAGACGCAGAGAGCGCCATTGAGAATAGCGTCCCACCAAACAAACAACCATCGCAGAGACGCAATGCTGCAGAACACAACAAGCATCAATACGACTATCTTCGGCTTACACCATCCCAAGGTCCCCCATACAACCCAGCCGACATCACCACCCGCATACCTCCATCGACCAGAACCACAAGAGTGCGTCGAATCAGGCGCAGCGCACCCGCAGATCCATCACAAGACGCAATACCGCAAGTAGCAGTAAGCATCAATGCAACTATCATACGGATGGCGCCCCCCTCACAACACACCCACATGATCCCTATCGATTTTGGTAACAAAGTTTTTATTATTGTTATATAAAAAATATCACCAACGTATCATAGTAGCACGCTACTAAGACGCCAATGAACAAAACTCCACGTATCAAAGCGCTAATGCACTAACACATGAAGTTGAGTATGCCTGTTACGCTTAAAATTGCTACCAAACACACTCATCATCCCAATTCGAGAGATAGACGACGCATCGCTATGCGCTACGACGTCGCCCACAAACGGTATGGGTGTGCGATGTCCACGGGAAAGCCGTATTGCTACAACAAACCCGCTTACCACCGACACTAAGATGATATGTCTAGGACACATCGGTTAGCGAGTCCAAGTTTAAGCAGCATACGCGCCACCATAATATTCCTTTTCAAGTCCCCAATAAGGACTAGTCATTTTGCTACAGTACTAGGAGCAGTCGGTCACCCGACCACTCCATACAATGCTTATGCATCAAGGATACCTCCTATAATATTGCTTTTCTATCATAGACCTTACTTTCATAAGTCATGCATATATAGGATTCGAACCCACGACCCTACTATTGTAATGCAAATTCATCATGGAGACCTTCTATAGTATTGCTTTTGTATCATAGACCTTACTTTCATAAGTCATTAATATATAGGGTTCGAACCCACGACCCTAATATTGAAATGCATATTAATCATAGAGACCTTCTGTAGTATTGCTTTTGTATCATAGACCTTACTTTCATAAGTCATTAATATATAGGGTTCGAACCCACGAACCACAAAGTATTCATACCTTCTATAACTATCAAGACTTACTTCAATCTAA